AGAGCAGAGAGAGAGAAAGACAGACTCTCCTCTTCTTTTAAAGCCCTCAGAACCACGCCCCTGGCCACCGTTTTTAATCCATTCACTACTGCACGGTCCTACAATCCAATCCCCTCTTCAAGGCTCCACCTTTCAATTACCATAATAGGATTTCCCATCCTCTTAACAGTCACAGTGGTGGCCAAGTTTCTAATACATAAAACTTGGGGGACACAATTCAAGCTTCAATGAGTTTTGGGGCGACATAATTCAATCTACTACAGTGGTGTTTCTTCTACCTTAGTGATATTAAAGTAATGTTGCATCTTATATCTTAGATGCACTGAATGCAGCACTCCTTTTTGTCGTAAGGTTAGAAATAAGTTTTCAATCATTATTATAATCTGTGTGTTTCTTAGAGAGCTTGAAACATTGAAGAAAATCTAACATACCAGAGACTTGGCATATTAGACTTGCAATTTTAATTTGAAATGTTTAAGAGGATATGACTAATTAAGTTTGTAGATAGTCTTTGAAGTTTTATTACTGGAGTATAGCCTAAACTTGAAGTACAACAGCTCTAAGATGACAGAAGTTTATTTCACTCTTTTGTAACAGTCAAGTAGTGAGTGGTCAAGAACTGGAGGACAAGCAGCTTTGCTATTCAAGGTCTTCTAAGGAAATGGTTCTTTCTTTCCTTTGGTTCTCCCTGGCTTAGTGTATTAGCAGCATCAGCATAGTTGATGGTGGCTTACCACCACATCCAAGGGAAGTGGGAAAGAAGAAGAGTCCAGGGCAAGTATCTTTAAGAAGACCTGGTTGTAGTATGCATCATATCTGCTCACACTCCACTGGGCCACACTGAGTCACATGGTCACAGCTAGCTGCAATGGAGCCGGGGAAATGTAATCTGTGGCTGGGTGGTCATGTGTCCAGTTAAAACTCAGGGGTTTTAGCTAAGAGGAAAAAGGAAAAAGGAGGAGAATTAACACTAGAGAACAGCTGGCAATTATCCACCGTGAATCCTTAGAAAGCTTCATTCACTAGATTTATTAAATTTCAATAATTGCTTAAATGCTTAGAAAGATCTCACTTGTCAGGTTTACAGATTTGCCATGTCAGGTGTTTTAAGTGTTTGATATAAAGTCAGATATATTTTAACTTTAAATGCACTCAAAATGTTTTAGGAAGGTAAATAGTAAGTTTATAAATTAGGTTAATTATTTAGAAGGATTTACTATGCCAAACGTAAGAGTCAATCCAACATTAATCAAAGAAAAAATGAAAGTGATTAATTCTATTTTTATATAGAAATTACTAGATATCAACAAGGATAAGACTGTCAGCCTTTTTCATAAAGGCTTATGAAAAACTTCAGTTTTTAAAATATTACAACTTTAACAAGCTGAGTATTAATCAAAACCAGTAACTGTAAGTGGTCCTCTGAATATAAAAGCCTTCCTCAAATATTAAAAATCTCAAGTGACATGCTTAAGAGCCTTTCTGAGTCCGTTGTGTGCTGCTTTAACAGAATACCTGAGACTGGGGTAGTTTATAAAGAACATAAATTTATTTTCTCACATTTCTGGAGGCTGAGAAGTCCAAGACCAAGATGCAGGCAGGTTCAGTTGTCTGGTGAGGGTCCGGTCTCTGCTTTCAAGATGGCCACTTGAAAGCTGTGTCACCTGGAGGGGAGGAATGCTATGTCCTCACATGGTGGAATGTGGGAGGGCTAGTGAGCACAAGGCCCTTTGTCAAGTCCTTTTGAAAGGGCACCTAATCCCCCTTGTGAGGGAAGAGCCCTCATGGCCAAACCACCCGTTAAAGGCCCCACCTCTTTATACTATCAGAGTGGCAACATCTGAATTTGTAGGGCACACATTCAAACCTCTCAGAGCCTTTGGATAGGTTTCTGTTAGTTATGATCAGAAAAAGCCTCAGGAAGATACAGTTTCTCCTCTAACATCATCATCTCATGTTTCTATCTATCCAGCATTCAAACCTCTCAGAGCCTTTGGATAGGTTTCTGTTAGTTATGATCAGAAAAGCCTCAGGAAGATACAGTTTCTCCTCTAACATCATCATCTCATGTTTCTATCTATCCATCTCAATGTCATAGACCTCACAGCTACATTTCTATCTCAATGTCATAGACCTCACAGCTACATTTCTACATTTATGGCAACCCTCAACACATGCATGGGTGGAGGAGATCCCTATTAGTCTGCCTGTCTAGCCTCCCTTTGCTGTAAACTATTTCTCCTTACCCATAACTTTCCAAATTTACAGAGTTCAGAGGTAGCTACCATGGCAGCCATGGTGACATGATTAGACCTACCCTTTCGGCCTGGCCAATTGGCCCAAGGGTGAATCACTGATCCAAGCCAGGCTAATCAGAGTGCCAACTGGAGGAGAGCCTCAGGCCAGAAGGATTATATGTAGACCAAGGAGCTGAGAATGGCTATCATCTATTGTACAGACCTGAGAGCAGATAAAAAGGGTCCTTTCAGAGAGAGACAAATTCAGCTAATTGGAAGAGAAATGGAAACATAAGATGATGAACATCTAGTCAGTTCCAGAGCCCAGTCAACTACACAGTGCCTTGAGTTCTCAGAGACATCTGGTACACTTATAATAATTCATTCCTTCCTTCTAAACAAGCTAGAGTCAGTTTCTATTATTTGTAAACAAAATAATTCTATGTAATATGCATGAAAATATATTAAACACATTGTGTGAAGCAAACTTGTGGGTTCGATTTTCAAAAGAAATAGCTTCTTGGTTGCCTCAATTAGTGAAAAATTCCAGTGTAGATCTGATCTTTGGGTTAGAGAGTACAAAGACTGATCCAAGGCATGTTCCCCGGTAAGCCCATGAAATCAAATTTACCTAAAATTCAACTCTTCCAGTAACTTTAGCCTGATAATCACTTGCAAACTACCCAACATTGACTGAGTAAAAGAAAGTTACAGCTGATTAACCACTTGTGTTTGTGTAGCATCTCATTATACTTGGAGTAATTTATAGGAATATATCCAAATAGCATTATATAGTCTATGGCTGCTGGTTCACCATCATCTCACAACTAAAGCTCCATTTTCCAGTTCTTCTTGAAGGCAAGGCAAGGCCATAGGAAGAACTAAGCTCTGGCCCATGGAATAAGAGTATAAGCAATGGGTGCAACTTCTGGACCATTTCCTTAAAAGGAATAACCCAGGATCTTTCTTTTCTCTTCCCTTCCTGCTCCTGGAATGCGAACATGGTGCTGGGAGAGGGAACAGCCAGGCTAAACTACAAGATAGAAGCCACGTGTTGTAAAGAGAGTAACAAGCCAGAAAGAGCCTGAGTCCCCAGCCCTATTTTGACTTTTCCTTCAGTAGCTGAAACGGTCCCCTAACTGTAACATAGTTTTTGCACAGAGAAACAAAAAAAGAATGACTGTTTCTTATGAAAGGTATTGTAGCCAAAAGCAAGGCTTTAAATTGATGAGATTCACTCATTCAACAAAGGTGAGTGACAAAGATCTGACAGCTGAGCACCTTTGGAAATCACATCCAGGCTGGTGAAGCAGTCCAGCCCGTGTGAGATGAGAAGTGCCCAAAGGAACAAGGGGACATCCAGCCTAGGGAAGGGAGGGATTAGGATTGGTCTTCAGAAAGCTGTCTTCAGACACACAAAGAACTGATGTGGAAGAGGGGACAGATTTGTTCCATATGGCCCCACATGAGGCAGGGAATGAAAGCACTAATATTTGAAGAGTTCTGTCAGTCAGGATTCTTGGCTGCAAGCAAAAGAAACAGACTCTGTCTTAAGCAAAAATGAAATTTATTAGAATGAAATTTGGAGGAATCACAGAACTGAACAGAGACCAGGGGATTGGCCAGGAACTAACAGTGTTCTGGAGGGCTGGGTACCAGGAAGCACAGCCACAGCAATGGAGCAGGAATAGCCTGGTCAGCCTGATGAATGACCTGTACCTGTTCTCACACCACTGTGCTGTTTTCTCAGGATTCTTCCTCATGGGAAAGAATCTAATTGGCTACACCTGGATCATTTTTCCTTACCTGGCTGAATGTGAGGTGAAGTACGCAAAAACTTGGTCCTGTTGACTCTGACGTGAGTGATGTACCACTTCCAAGAGGAACAAAGATGTTATCAAACGAATGTCCTTTGCCATCTCCAAAGACGCTTTCCGAGCCCAAGAATTTGTGACCAGTGTCTCAGGATTGGGAAGGACTTATCTATTTAAGGAAAGTATCTCCTTTTCACATTCCTCACATATGCTCACACACTCTCTGCTGAATGATTTCAGTGATGACAGGTTCACCACCTCCCAAGTTCCTCTTCATGATAAGATAAAATCAAGGCTGGGGAGTTTAGACTCTCTGCCTGGCATTCAAGACCCTCCAACTCTGGGCCCACTTTTGTAGAGTTAGTCCTGTGATTCTCCTGCAGAAACTCTTCCTCCTGTCAAACCTATTTCCTCAATGTCACCATCCTTTGTCCCCAGCAAGATATTTTGTGCTTATTCTCCTTCTCCTATCCATCCAAATGTTATTCATTCTTCATATTCCAGCTCAAATCCCACAACACACATGAAACAGTCCCAAACTATCCCAGTCCAGAATAATCTCTCTTTGGAAATGTTTTCCCATAATCTTCATTAGGCAGTTAATCACTCTCTCTATATGTTTTCTATTGTATAGGATTGATACTTAAATCTTGTTAGGCAATTAACTTTTTTTTTTGTACTCTTTGTCTTTTTTTCGTGACCGGTAACGGGATCGCAACCCTCGGTGTCGCACCCGCACCGCGCTCAGCCAGTGAGCGGACCGGTCTCTATATGGGATCTGAACCCTTGGCAGGAGCGCCGCCGTACTCCCAAGCGCCGCACTCTACCGAGTGCGCCACCAGGCCGGCCCTAGGCAATTTAACTTTAAACACATTTATATCTTACCTTGCTACCTAGATTATAACTTCTTAGGACATGGACTATTCTTATATATGTTTGCATCTCCTGTAGAATTAATGAAATTCTTTCCATGTGCACTCTTTTTTTGTTTATTTTGGCTTAATGGACTTGAATGCCATAGGAGGGTGTCATCTACACCCCTTATCCAGGAATCTTGGGAAGTGGAAACAGGGGAAGATGAGTATAAAGGTATATCAGACAATGACCTAAAATGACTTTCCTCAGAGCATAATAATGATGTGAACAATGTATATTTTTAACAGCTTTTTAAAAAGGTATAATTGATATGCAATAAACTGTACATAGTTGAAGTATACAACTTTGTAAGTTTTGACATATGTATACATCTATGAAGCCATTGCCCTAACCAAGAAAATAAATATATCCATCATTCCCCAAAGTTTCTTCATGCCCCTTGTAATTTCTCTGCTTTACTGCCACCCCAAGCAACCACTGATTTGTCTTGTGTCACTATAAGCTTGCATTTTCTAGAATTTTATATAAATAGAATCTTTCAGTATGTACACTTATTTGGTCTGGTTTCTTTCACTCAACAAAATTATTTTGAGATTCATCCATGTTGTTGAATGCATCAATAATTTGTTCCCTTTTATTACTAAGCAGTATTCCATTGTATGGGTATATCACGATTTGCTTATCAATTCACCTGTTGATGGTCATTTGAGTTGTTTCCAGTTTTTGACTACAAATAAAGTGCTATGAACATTTGTGTATACGTCTTTCTACGGACACACACTTTCATTTATCATAGGTAGATACTTAGGAGTTAGAACAACTGGGTCGTGTGGTAGGTCCATGAATAACATTTTAAGAAATTGCCAAAATGATCGCACCACTTTACATCCCCATCAGCAATGTGTGAATGTTCCAGTTGGTTGCTCCATCTCCTCATCAATACTTGGACATCTGAGTCTTTTTAATTTCAGCTATTCTAATAGGTCCGTAGTGGTATCTCATTACATTTTTAATTTGCATTTTCTGAATAACTAATGATGTTGAACATCTTTTCATGTGCTTATTTGTCATCCATAGATGGCTTATTTGCCATCTTCTTTGATGAAGTATCTGTTCAGATCTTTTGCCCATATTTTAAGTTGGGTTGTTTTCTTATTGCTGAGTTTTGAATTTCTCTATATATTCTGGACATACATCCTTTGTCAGAGGGGTCCTGTGATTGATAGAAATGAGCCTAACTTTGTACCTCCACTGTGCTCAGTCATTGACTGGGAGCAGCCTGAGAGACATGTGGCCTCAGCCATATTGGAGCAATAGGTGCAGAGGGACAGCAGCTTGGGATCTGAGCAGCAACTTCTCACATGTGTCATGTGCATGCAACAAAGTGTGATTAGTGAGATGATGCAGTAAGCACAGGTGCTATAGGAATACAGATGAGGGGCACCTGAGCCAGTCTTTCAGGGTTAGAGTAGGCTTTCTGTGCGACAGTGGTCAAAATTGAGACCTAAGCAGAGAATAGGAGTTAACAAAACCATATACACTGCTGATAGAAGTGCAAACAAGTATCACCACATTGTAGAACAATTTGACATTATCTAGAAAAGGTAAAGTTTTGCATACCATGGGAGGTAGCATTCCATTCCTAGGTACAGGACTTAGAGGAACTCTTGCAT